CTGACTCAACGCTGTTTTTATTACTTAAGACTAGAAGAAGGTAGATATGTGTATCCTGACTCAACGCTGTTTTTATTACTTAAGACTAGAAGAAGGTAGATATGTGTATCCTGACTCAACGCTTCTGTTCTTACATAAGACTAGAAGAAGGTAGATGTATGTATCCTGACTCAACGCTTCTATTCTTACATAAGACTAGAAGAAGGTAGACATGTGTATCCTGACTCAACGCTGTTTTTATTACATAAGACTAGAAGAAGGTAGATATATGTATCCTGACTCAACGCTTCTATTCTTACATAAGACTAGAAGAAGGTAGACATGTGTATCCTGACTCAACGCTGTTTTTATTACTTAAGACCTGTTTTGTGATATTTAACCACATTCTCATTTAAATAGTCGACAACAGTAAAGTTACAGTATTGTAACAAGGACACTTCAAATAATTGTTCTACATTAAGGAAAAACTTCAATTATTTGCCTGACTTGCACTAAAATAGTGGGTTACGAACTTTCAAACCACAACTAAGAGCAAGAACGTCTTTCTTCGTTCGTCCTCGGTGGCTCAGCGACAAGTCAGTGAGATTACATCGCTAATTATCGAGTTTCGATATCTGCGAAGGGCGGAGCACAGATAGCCCATTGTGTAGCTTTGTACGTTACAACAAACTAAGTTCTCGTTTTTTTGTTGTTTTTTTTTAATACTTTGTGAATAACCTTCAGATACAGTTACTTATTAGTGAGTGTACCATTGAACGAAACGTTTTCAATATTTAAGACTTTGGTACAGTGGACGTTACATACGAAATATTTAGATTAAGCTTTTACTACACCATCAGTATTTAAAACAAGAAAAAACACTGATCGTAAAATATTCTAAAAAATATGAAACTCGACACATAAGCTATTGATGAAATGTAAATGGTTCAAAGTGTGGCGTGATGTACGAGTGTTTACTGTTTATATCGGAATTTCTCGTATCCAACTCTGTATAAAATATTATAATTTTCTTATATAACGTTGAGGATTCTACCAGTTTTGTATATTTTTACGTTACTAGCATCTTTCTTAGCTTTTGTTCTTCCCGCTTTATGTTGTGTCTGAAACTCTCAGTTTTACGTGATCTCGTGCATAGTTATCATTGTTTGTTTACGTTAAATCCCGAAGAAACGACTATATATGTATGTATATAGTGTCAGAGTTAAAGTCGTCCATTTTCCTATCTCTTGCGAATCGCCAAGGCAACGCTTTTGTCTGTGCAACTATACATTCGTCATAATCAAAACAGCGCGCACCTGCACGACTTCGCAAAGGTTTAGATCCTTGCTGTTAGAAATTCCTGATCAATAATCTTACTCCAGACCGATCTAACAGCTAACGACCATACCTTCGGTGTGATGGAACATTTGTTGCTCGGTGGTTTTGTGTATAGATGGCGCTTGTTTCGTGGATGTCTAGGTCAACGTTAACTCCTAGAACTTCGGCCAGAGTGTTTCCTGTTTATCAAGATGTAAGGAACAGAGGAAACTGGTGTGTTTCATATTCTTTTTTGTCTACAGGCACGAGCAATTAGTAAGTTTTTTGTTGTTTTTTTCAAAGCTTTTCTCTCATTTTGGTCATATTTATTAGTTCTGTAACGAAATTGGTAACGCCTCCATTTTCAAGTATACTTCGTTTGCTGGCCAAGCGATCACTGGTAATCCGTAAATATCTGTCATTCGTTTTTTGTTGTTGTTGTTGTTGTTTAATGTTGAACTACACACACAGATACAATCATAGATGTATTAATGCGCATACTTGTAAACCATTCAAAGCGTATTAATCCGCATTTCGTTTGAAGTAATGAGCTTCGTGTGAAATTTATTCTTCATAAAATCTTATTGTCCATTCCCTTGGAGAATCAGGTTGGAACTAAGTGAAATATCACAGGAAACACATTAACTTGATAAAGTAGTATATTATTCATACTGTTGCTACATTATTTACTGATTGCGCTCGTTATAACACTTGAAATTTATCATCAACGAATATTTCACTGTTTAACGTTACACAGTAATATTATCGTGACTTAGAACGTCTGATTTGCACGTGCACGAAATGCTAAAATGTTAAAAATTCAAACAAATGTTTAAGATTAATACACTCAAAATATATGCACGATAAAAATGACTTTCCGTCTACCAAATACAAGAGGTTAAGTAGATACGAAAACAACAACAACAGTTTTAATATACGTTTTTTACTGGAACTTTAACGTTCGTTTTGTCAGTGCCGGATTTCCAGTTTTTATACTTTTATGTTTTGAGAGTTCAAACAAAGTTCTTAACACTCATTACCCGACTTTTCATTAAAGTTGTTGCTAGTATTTTGTACTAAATTATTATCTTTTAAACTAAAGTTGCCTGTAATCTACATTGATTACACAGGCCTGCGAATTTAAACTTAATAAAAGTTGTGTTAGTTTTAATAACGGATTTTCCATAATTCAGCTACGCAGATTTCGAAAATAATATCAATTTTTTTCTATCACGTAAGATTTTTTATAAATCGGGAAAAATAAAAAGCTTACTTAGATCAAATTATTATTTCTTTACAAATCCTTCTTTTAGTACAAAGTTAAGTAAAGAAGAATTTCTAAAAATAAAAAATATCAGTCTTACTGTGATTTTAATATTGCATGATTACACTTTGCCAGCACAGGACATTATATACTGTAGTAAGTTTATAAAGTTCTCACAAAGGAATTAAACTTAACAGATCTATGATATTGCTGAGCCAGTATCATCCTAGCTGATTTTGTATTCCATCTTTGTTGAATTTATGATTTCAAAACGACCACAGTTGACCATTTGATTTTACAAATAAACCAAATTTATGGATATTTTAGTAACTTAAAAGAAAATTGTAAAACTAAACTGAAATATAACTATTTAAATACAAAGTCACTTTCCACGTTTTATTTTTGTACTATATTATTCATGAATTTGACTGAAAACTCCATAAATTTGAAGTTATTACAAGAATTGCAACAAGAAACACATAATTGTTTCACGAGAGAAAAGAAATAATTTCATTATATCAAATTTGTAGTTGAGTGTATTTTTAAGCATAATTGTCGCCTATGAAATTTCTTTATATTTAAAGACCATATTTCTTTATAAAAACTATTAACTGTAGTTCGTACATTTATTTTCCCAGCTATCAGCATGGGTATATTAGGTCCACTAAAAAAATAGTTAACTCGTCTGAAAGAAAATGTAAACTTAAGGTGTCTGCGACTAGATAAAGCAAAGCGGAAGATTTCCTAGATGAGGATGACGTAATTATTCATTTATTTTACTAGTCTATCAGGGGCTAATGATGAACAGAGCTTCCCTATAAAAGAGAGCTTGCTCATAAACAAGCTGAGGCCAGTAATTAACCGCATACATAACTACTTTTGTTATAATATCACTTCGTCTTGTTGTTAACCCTAGCTAACTACTCTTGTTGTTATAATATCACTTCGTCTTGTTGTTAACCCTAGCTAACTACTTTTGTTGTTGTAGTATCGCTTCGTCTTCTTGCTAACCCTAGCTAATTACTCTTTGTTATAATATCACTTCGACTTGTTGTTAACCCTAGATAACTACTATTTTTGTTATAATATCACTTCGTTTTGTTGTTAACCCTAGCTAACTACTCTTGTTGTTATAATATCACTTCGTTTTGTTGTTAACCCTAGCTAACTACTCTTGTTGTTATAATATCACTTCGTTTTGTTGTTAACCCTAGCTAACTACTCTGTCACAGTATGTTCTACCTTTC